GCCGGACGCTTCCCCTTCCCTCACGTGCTCCCCGCCCCGCAGCCGCGCCCGCCCGCTGAGGCCCGCGCCCAGCGCCTGCCCACGGGCCTCTCCGCCGCCCCGAGCTCACCCACGTGTGCCGCGGGGCCCGTGCGCGGCCTCGGAAGAGAGAGGCTGTCAGGGGGTCTCTGGCCGCTGCGGAGCGCGTGCGGGGCCGGGTGCCCCAGCGTGGCGGGTCTAAGAAAGGACGTCTGGTAATCGTGCGTTTTTTGTTTTTGTGTGTGTGTGTGTGTGTTTTTTCCCTCCAGCAACGAAGGTTTTGGGAACAGTAAAATGGTTCAATGTAAGAAACGGATATGGTTTCATCAACAGGTGAGATGACCGCTACCGTAGTCTCGGTCCTACCTTTTCGCTTGCTCTGCTCCTTGGGCAGGCCCTGCGGGCTTGGAAGGGGTTAAGCATGGGTAGCTTGTTCCTTCTGGTGGGGTAGTGAGGTTTTGTTTTCCTTGAAGACTGAAGGGATTAGGGATCTGGAGATAGTCTTTTGTTTTGCAGCTAAATATTAATTTAAAGCTAAGTGAAGAGGCCGCTTCTGGTACAGAGCAATTTAAAAGGCGAGCGCAGTGGACGAGCCAACTCTCAACAGTTAGGGCAAACTCAGGTAACCAGGATCTAGTGTGATTCTCCGAGGTGCATTTTTATCCTTGTCACGTTAGTGAAATTGGTATTGAAAAATGTGATGTGATCCACTGGATTAGTACGTGGAGATTATTTCTAAGTGGTTAGCCTTTGGAGGTAACAAGAGTTGACAGTGCAGTAGGGGAGGTCTTGTCATCTTGACTGCTAAGGTTATATCGCCTTTGTTTAACGTTTCAGTGTATGATGTCTTGAAGGCCTTGGAGAAATTTCACATTAGAACTACAATTTCTATTTGTTCCTGTGGTGGCCTCTGGAAGAAACTACCCTTTTCCCTTTCTCAGGTTTTTTATTTCTCCTACTTGTTTGTTCTCATCTTTAGGATTAGTCCTTTGAGTCGTTTGTAGTAGTAGTGATGATAGCGTGCAGTTTTCATACACTGTACTCTTCTTCACGGTCTCCCTTGTGAGCCGGGCATCATTTCCAAGATGGCTGCCAAGCAAGGCTACTAGTGCAGTTGCATATGGGTGTAGGGCATGGTGTGTGCTCATAGCACATTGGCCTTACAGGTAGGATACCTTCATCTCCGCGTTTTCTTACATTCTTGTTTCAGAAGGCATTAAACAACTAGAAAAGAACACCTAAGGGTAGGAAATACTACTGAATGTTTGTGTAATGGACACTACTGCAAGAAACCCAAGTGGGCAAGATCAAGCTTAAAGACAGACATAATTGGCTGATGAAAAACCTTTCATTACTCAACCATAAAATATTGTGGAAATGCTCAAAAGCAAAAGAGATTGTAAGCATTTGATGGTCTGTTTTCCACGTTTGCAGTTGTGGGGAAATAATTTTGTTTCTTCCAAAATCTTTGGGGAATTTTCCATCTGTTATTAACACTTTTTGTGACAGGTCAAAGCTACGTTTTTTCCTCAGTTTTTTGATAATTGGTTACTAGTGATGAAGAGAATGCATGGGTGCTTATATTTGACCACTTTTTAGTTGCTCTCTGAATGTTAGCATTTCAGTTATTATTTCCATCTTACCCTGATTCCTGATTCTCTTTAGTGGTCTATACCTTAAACCAATAGTTCTCAAATTAAAGTATGCTTAGTACTTTGGAAGGGTGTTAAAAATGCAAATTCCTGAGTTCTTCCCAGCCTAGATTCTTTGGTTCTGGGGTACATTTTTAACAAGAATTCCAAGTGATTATGTCTTGTGGGCCATTCCTTGAAAAATAACGCTTCTAATTTTTGACCCAGTGTAATGCTGGTGTGTACATTAGAAGGGAATGTAATGTGCAGCGTTTTCTGTGGTTGGATTGTAGTTTGTGTAGTTTTGAAAGTGTATGCGCGTGCCTTATTTTTGCTATATTTTGTTAAATGGACAGAGGTTATGATTTTTTAAGTGAACAGTTTCTATCCAAGGGTAAAAGTAGTTTATTTACATATTCTAAGTTTTTTTATTTCATGAGATGCCATTCCTTGAGTATCTTTATTCCAACCTGTAATTAACCCAATTGGTAGTCCTCCAGGGCAAGTTAAATGTAGATTGACTTTCGATGATCCTTCGCTTGGACTGTGCTAACCTCAACTATTTTGTCAAGTTAACCGGTTTAAATGTGCTTGTGCTTTGTGTTTCTAAACTGGTTTCAATGATTGTAAGACTTTCAAGTCACTGTAAAATGTGACTGTAATAAGTCCAAGAGAGGTTTACCTTGATGAAGGGAAAATGTAGGTCTTAAAGAACTATAGTCTGGAAGTTTGCGAGTTGGTTGGGTATGTAGACAGGGGTGGAGGTACCTGGCTGTCGATTGGGAGGGGGTGGGTAGACACTGCTGCTGCTGTGTAAGGGAGAGGATGTAGTCTTTGGGATGATGGCTGTGACTCTAATTTTAACCTTGGGAGTTCTGTGAGTTATAATCTAGGTTCTTCAGATTTTTATAATTAAAATTGAAGGTATTTTTATGTAAACTTTTTTACTGTTGAAGAATGTATTTTCATTGTAAATATTGTGATCTAAATTATTACCCATGAAAATAATGTTAGTTTTGTAAGGATTATATTTAAAAGCGTTTTCTTCTGGTGGTTTTATTGTACAAAAGGCATAAGAGCTTTTAAAACATCAAACGTTTGGCAGCTTTTGTTAGGCTGCAGAATCTAGGAATTGTGAGAAATTCATGGTTAGTCTTCCTGTGCTGTCTTGAACAATAATTGGATTATGTGACTAAGAGGGGTTTGTTGAACACCACCACCACTTCCCCCCCAGTTTCTTTTCAGTTTATTATGAAAAACTTCACTCAAAACTGTTGGAAGATGTCATTAGAAGGATGCCGCAGGGGTCAGTGGTTTCAGGGTTTGGTTCTTTGCTTTTTAAATCTGGAAACCTGATTTTTGTCTTTTGCTTCCAGCTGTTGAGGATTAATCCATGCTCACCAAACTCATGAAAAGTTACCATGAGTTGGTAACAATGGGACATGCATCTTTCATAGTGACAACAAGAGAAATACTCTGACTCTGTTCTCCAGAGTACTTAAAAATGCTTAATTAATCATCCTAGGGTTTGGTGGTGAGCAAGGAATTTGGAGCAAAGAGAATCCAGTAGGGCAGAGGGCACAAACTGGTGACCTCCTAGCTGAGTCTACCCCCAGATGTTTTGTTTGGACAATAGTGTTTTAAAAAGGATTAGAAATAATTACTGACACTTAGGGAGATAATACCCAAATTTTCAAGTTATCTTTTTTTAAGATCTGAATTTTAGCTTTGGGGCCTGAAGTCCATGTAAATAAAAATCAGCTGGCCATGAGTATTATTACAACTTTCAAATAGGGCGTAACATTCTTTTTCTTTACCGCACTGTGACAGGTTGGGTTTTCTCCTGTTGTTGACTTCCCTTCCTGCTTCGCTTCCGTGTATGCATTTGAATTTATTACCTGTGGTCTAGGAAGATGTATGATAAACCAAGCCAAGGAAGGACTTAGCTATCTCTCTTTAGCAAAAATACTGAGGTTGTGGTTATCAGGTTTAGTCTCCCTTTTAGGGATTCCATGTGTATGTAACTGATGAAGGTGACTTACTTCACACAGTGATGGCACATAAAAGTAGCTAATATTTCTCAAACACTTAACACCAGGAATTATTGTAAATGCTTTAGGTGAACTAAACTGTTTAATTTTTAAAATCTTTGAGGTGTAGATACTATTCTGAAGACAGAGGTTGAGTGATTTGCCCTAGGAAGCATAGTAAGTGGCAGAGGTAGGTTTTGAACGGTTTTCTTACTGTGGATTTTGTTCATTAGCTGCTGTTCTACTGTCCCTGAAAATATAGGCCCTTAGTCCTCTTCAATTTGGTTGGTGTCCACAAAGTTACAGGTAATTTCTTAGTGTGGCTATTCTTAGCCATTGAAAGACCTGTTTTCCTAAGTAATACCCAGCATGTCACTGGAGCTCCTATATGTGCTCACTATTAGTTCCCTGGATTTTAAAAGCTTTCTGCTTTGCACTGCCTGTTTCATGTAGTTCGGTATTGGCTATAATAGTCCCAGTTTAGTGTGCAGATTGGCTTTAACAATTAAAAAGGACTTGCTTAATAGTCAGTATTGGGATGCAGTTGAGGAATTAAAAGAGAGAGCCTTTGACCCTTATTTCTTGGATCTTTTCACCCCGTCTTTATACGACCTGCAAGCTAAGAATGGGTTTTACTTTTTTAAGGGTTATTTAAGAATATGTGACAGTCTGTGACCTTACGTGGCCTAGAATATTTACTGCCTGGTTCTTGGATTTTAAAATGTGTAGACTTATGGAAAAGTGATTGCCAAGTCTTTTGGGCTATTAAAAATCAGACTGAAGTTGATTATGCACAGTAAGGTCTATCTAAATCATAGAAGACATGGGTAGTCTGTAATATAACTAAATGCTGTGGCACTAAGAAGACTGTGCTACTAAGGCAGGATGGGTGGATGGAAGCATAAAAAATGATACCTAAATAGTCCTTAGGTCATGATGTATCATTGGCAGTCTTGAAAAAGCAGTTATTGGTTGTGGAGGGGGGATTTGTTTTGATTTCAGAACTGAGGCTTTTCAGACAATGGCTTTGTATACAAGGCACTTGAGGATTAATTTACATGCTGGTTGGGTTAGTTGCTCATCTTAAGTTGGCCAGAAGTCATCCTTGTTCACCAAGTCACTGATAATGTAAAAGCTTTTCATCTTAAGTCTAGAGAACGAATGTATTCACCTGCTGGTTTTTTTTTTAATGACTATAGAATTAATAATTTGTGCAATTGAGCAATTTAAGTTGTTAAAAGGGCATGGTGTAGTAATCTGCAACAAGGTAATAGAATAAGAGCATTTAGTTAGGGATAGATGAACTTACGTATATGTTAGGTTTCATTTAAGGCAGTGCTGTGGATTGGCGCAAAAGTTTCCTGAAATTTTAGGACATCTTAAAACACTTTAATCTGGATAAATTTAGTAGTATAGGAGTTTAGTGCTAGCTACATGTTTTTGCCTTCATTGTGCTGCATTAGGAACTTTTAAGAGACTTGTATTTATAAATCCCAGCAGTATTTCTCTTTAGCATTTTCCCAATTTAAAAACGGTAGCCTCTTTTTTTTCTTCAGCTGCTCGCTATCTGTGATTCCTTTTTTCCTTGAAGTCAGTACTGTGTCCTCATTTGCTGAATAAGGACAATACTAGTTAAGAGTGAGAAAACCTAAGAGGAGGGGTTTTTGTGAAAAATTTTCAGTATAAATAATGCCCTTAACAGCAAGAGGTGGAATAGAAGAATACAGCAGAGAGCATACATCTGAGTGCAGAACAGGACTGTGTGCTATATGGAATGACACTGTTGTAATATTGTAGGCCTGTGCTGTCTATACAGTAACTATTAGACTTGTATGGAAGTGTAGTTAGTGCATGCATCTGAGAGACTGAATTATTTTTAACTTGAATTTTAAAACATACCCAATTTAGTGTTTGTTTTGAACCACTTTCTTTTGCACAGCTTGCATTTGTGAACCTACTTTTCAGAAGTGTAAAACATAGAGCAGATTATGAAGGCTTAGTATGAAAAAAGAAATGTAAAATACTTGGCATTTTTAATAATTGATTTGTACGTGCTTAAATGCAAAACTCGTTTTATCTGTTTTTACTTTTTTTATTGTGACTACTGGAAAATAAACTTAGATACAGATTTCCCCATGTTGTCCAAAAGTAGTGCATTTCTGTGAAACCTTTCATGAAAGTGAAGTGGTGTAAAAGTTAAAGTGAACTTTTAGGTAACTAGGCAAACCTGTATTTATTTAGCTTGCATTTGATTTCTTTTGGACAGCAGTACTAGGCACTGAACAGCAAGTAAAATAATTGCCTCAAGTGGCAGCAGTAAGGAAGGGTTGAGGTTTGATTATAGTGTGGCCTTTAGGTAAGTGTTTTATCCCCACTATGCATATAAGGTAACTTGCCCCAGATCATGTAGTTAGTAATGGAATAGCCAGAATTCTAGCCTTGGCTCCAGTGGTTCTAGTAAGGAGTTCTAAACCACTGCTCTATGTATATTGCCTGCTCTTCTCTCCTCTTCACCCTCTCTGATCAGTAGGACTTAACGTACTATATAGTGTGTGGAAAACAATACTTGGTAATTCTGCTGCATTGCATTGAAGGTGGTGGCTTTCTAGGTTGAAATCCTAGGACGGACCATGTCCTATTTTTGTTACTGTTGTTAGCCTAGTGCCTAGCTAGCTAGTTAGCCTGTTAAAGGGATGCATAAACTAGTCTGCCCTGCCCATAGTCTTCTACCCTCAGTAAAGTATGGTAAAGACAGAAGAAGTGTACCTTTTAGTTCTCGCGGATAATACCACAAAAGGTAAGGTGCAGTCCTGGGGATGTCTCTCTGTTCCTTCCTTATTACGTTAGTAACAGCTAAAAGTTTCAAACATACTTCTTGATGATCCATTTTGGTCAGCTTATTTTAATTGCTGCTTTTCCCTCCTTGGTAAGCTCTCTCTATATAGTAGCTGTGAGCATGCATTATTTCCCAGTGTTACTGTAGATAGGGGTCTACTCCACAGCGATTTCTATGACTTGTGAGGCCAAAATGGTTTTTACATTAGGGGAGGGGATATGTAGCAGAGCCTTGGTCTATTTACAGGGAATAATTTGTAGAGTGGGGTTAATGATGGTGCCTACCTTGGGTTGTGAGGATTGAATGGTATGTTTAGTTAAAGCACTTGGGACAGTATCTGGAACCTAAATCCCTCAGTAAGGTATGCCGTTGTGTCTAGGTTTTCCCGTTTTGCAGGTGGAGATATAGTGAAGGGGAGGCAGCTTTCCAAGGTTGCACAGCTAATAGTGGAATGAGAACTAAAGATTGGATTTTCTTTAAGCAGTACCTTGAATTTCTGCACAGTCACTTAATAAGTTGCAACTAGATTGATTTGGTGCATCCAAACTGTAGTATTCTATCTTGGCTAAAACTGCATTTTTTGAGCTGTCAAATTTCTTCCTAAAATCAGATGCACTTTGGCCATGGTAATTCCCCTAACAGGCCGGTTTGTTGTCAAAAGAGTGAGTGCTGTTGTTGGCACCACACCAGTTAATGAGCCCATATTGGTTTCCACGTATCTTTGTACCTGCAGAATATCTTAAGCTGTCTTCCAAGGGACAGCATTGTGTATATTGCCTACTTTGTACTGTTTTTAGGAAGATACGTTCTAACTAGATAAGTCATTTTGGTAAATTTTTTAATTCCTTTTACAACCTTGAAGTAAAATTGTAGATAAATTTTTATTGCAGTGCATAGTATATTCTGTATGTACATAGTTACTTGCAGCTGTATTAGAAGACGTGATGAATAGTCAGTGCCACCACAAATACTGATTGATAAAAGAAATGATGTATTGGCTACCCAGATACACAGGTCGCATTATCAGTAATGAAAACTTCTTTCCATGGAAGTTGCATTTTTAGTAAATTCAGTGCATGTTAAAACAATGTAAAATACCAGATTCAAAACTCAAATGTACTGGGGTGCCTAGGTGGCTGAGTTGGTTAAGTGTCCGGCTTCACCTCAGGTCATGATCTCACGGTTTGTGGGTTCGAGCTCCACGTAAGGCTTTGCGCTGTCAGGTCAGCTCAGTCTGGATCCTGCTTTAGATTCTGTGTCTCCTTCTCTCTCTGCTGTCTGTCTCTCAAAAATAAGTAAACATTAAAAAAGATTTAAAAAAAGCCCTCAAATGTACTTACATGAAAGTCTACTAGGGTACCAAATAATTCTTTACCTAGTTCTCTAGCGCCTGACACCCTTCACCCCAGTTATGGCAAATAGTGCCCATCTTTGGAACAACTTTAAATGACCTGTGGTGGTCAGCACTGCCCCTGTTGAGAGTTCCTGTTCTAGACTTTCCTACTCTACTAGTTTTTCATTGTACTTTTTCTGAGGGCCCTCGGGTTCAAAATTAAAGGGTTCACTATTAAAGATCTTAATAGTGATGGCTATGGAATTGTTTGTAGGATGCCTGAGGACCTATTTGACAGATGGGCATTTTGGCAACCATAATTCCCTAGGTGTTCCTGATATTCAACTAGCTTATAGAAGTCAATTTTCGGTCACCTGCCTTGAGTAGCTTTTGCAGTGTTCTGCATTTGTGTGTAGGTTTTTCTTCTAAAAATTTAAAATTTTGTTCCCATAAATTAAATGTCCTCATGCTAAGGGGGGTTCTTTGGCGCGCAGCATTTGTTGCTCCATGGTTCAACAGGAAGCCAACAGTCAGTAAGCCAGTCAGTCTAATTCACTGTAACCTTTGTTCCTTTTGTCATTAAACATTAGAACTGTTATTAAGCCCATTCACTCTGATCTATCTGACAAATTGAAGAGGGTAGGAGGAGGTCAAAAAAGATCTGGAAATCTATTTCTCCTGTGGTGTTTACTTACAATATCATTGCCTTCACTCCAGCGTCCTAGGTGAAAAGCTAAAAGCTCATTCTCCTATTTTCCTCTCACTTCCAAAATCCACTTGTTCATAAAATTTTCCCTGCTTTTACCTCAAGAAAGAGACCTCAAATACTCTCCCTCACATAGGCTTCCATCAATCCTGGTCTGGGCTTCTAGAATAGTTTTTTATAACTAACTGGGCTTCTCTTGTATCTGAAATTTTCATAGTTGCTACTAGGTTTTAATATTTGATGATGTTATGCCATATTCCTCTACTCAAAAAAGCCTTTGCTGGCTCCTCTGCCTACATAATTTAGCTCTTGTTCTTTCCCTCCTCCACAGCCATATTCCTCATGACCCAGCCAGTTTGAACTCTTCTTGCATTGAGTTTGCTAGTTGCTGGTTTACCCATGTCCATGACCTCCTTTCTGTCTACCTCGGGAACATCTTTCTCATTTCCGTTAACTTCTTTAAGACTTAAGGCAAATGTTGCCTCCTTTAAAGTCCTGAAGCAGGTATTTTCAACCATATTTCTTTAGCACAGTTTAACTAGGCATTTAATGATTGTTGCAAAATGGTGTCTGATAAGAAGTAAAGGGGTTGTGTGCTAGTAGGAAACTCATTCATCTTCACGTCCTTAGTTCTCCAGCACAATGCTTGCCTGCTTGCCACAGGAATGATGGGGGTATTGATGGCATCCATGTTTGTACCTCATTGTGGTCTTTTGTTTTTCTTTAAGAGCAGTTTTAGGTGCGTGACAAAACTGAGCAGAAAATAGATTTTCCATGTACACTGTGCTCATGCATGCAGCCTCCCCAACAGGGTCGACTCCTGCACGACCTCCACCTGCACTATCCACCGCAGTAGTGACATTTGTTAAAATCAACAACCTTACGTTGACGTGTTGTCACACCACCCAAAACCCATAGTTTACATTGGTACTCATTCTCGGTCTAGTACATTCTGTGAGGGTTTTTTAGGAGTCACCTTTATGACCTCGAGGAGATCTTGGAAATTGGAAATGGTGAGGGGGAACTGAGAAGGAAGCTAGTAATTAATGGAATGAGCTATGTTTTTGGTCTCCTACTTAAATTAGTAACAGTGCTCTTAGGAGTAACAGTGGGGTGTGCTGGAACATTGTTTATGTTTAGTAGGATAAGTGTGACAGTTGCTAGTCACACCTTAATGGCTTAGTAGGTCACACTTGGACTTTTTTAAATCCTGCAGTAGTAACGTTACAACTGTTGGTAATCTCTTGGTCTTAAAAAATGAAACAAAACAAAACTTTCTGCTTTAAATTTTCTAACGGCTGTATGGCAGCCAGAAAGTCCAAGTGACGATAGGAAAAATGGGGGCGGGGGAGATGTACAGAAAACCAAGCTTATGCTTAATCTTTGGTAATGTGAAATGTATTCCATTTTCTGACTTGTTCAACTTGGTTCTGTCTTGTAGGAATGACACCAAGGAAGATGTATTTGTACACCAGGTGAGTGCTTGTGTGAATGTTCACAATTCTGGTTTTAAGGGTTGTGAGAAGGGATGCATGTTTTCTCAACTATTGTTCCTTACAAAAAGGTTATTCTATCCAACCACCAAACAATTTAGTTCCCACAGGAAGGGCTCAAATGTATACATTGAAATATTGTATTGGCAGCTCACTTAATTAAAATAGGTGTATCTCAGATGGGTATTTTGTTAATAGTAGTTTTTAAATGATGAAGTCTGCTCAACTCATACTAAATTTTTAAACCCAATTTCAGAGGAAGAAAAAAAATCTCCCATTAACCTAAACTTGAACTAATAATGCTATAAATACACAGAAACTTTGGTGAGGTGTTTGCAAATGCTGCTAGGTTTTATCTCTGTGGTAGGGACAAAATCACAATAATCATGGGGGAGAAGTAGGACTAAGCTGCAAAACCTATAAATTTGAAGTGAATGCTGGGGGGAAAAAACTAGCAAAGTAACCTAGGCCCCTCTGTTTATGTTAAAACACTTTGACTAGGAATTACCTTTGGAGAATTTTGTTTTGGCTTGAAAAATTTAATTAAGAGTCCTTAGTTTAGGGTTGAGGTGAAAAGGCGGTGTGGCAAAGTTGGTAATTACTCATTAAATAATTTTTAGATTGGCTTCAGTGTTTTGTGGGTAAAAAACTAACACAGGATTAGGTGCTACAATGCTAAACTTTGACAAGTACATTTAAGAAAACTACTTTGGAAAATGCGCATTGAGGAATTTTATTAAAGCCACTGCCAAGTAAACACTAGTATCTCGAACTTAAGTACATCATGGGCTCCGTTGGACTTCATTATCTTCACAGGTGTGCTGTGGGTAGGAAAAACACATTTGTATGTGTGTACTTGAAGTTTTTTCACTAAGACTATTGAAATATTATCAGCTTGTATTGAAAATCACTTTAAGAAATTTTTAGCCACTTTATCTTTTTATCCAGACATCAAAAGACATAGTTGGTTTTCACACTCACTGTTAATCAGGCAGGTGTGAGCTTGGATGGCAGCATACTTCTTAGGAAGAGCTGTCTGAGGTTGGTACTTTGTCACCTTCTGAGGTATCCTATGCAGCACTCAGTGGCAATCAAGGGGGGAGCCAGATCAATTTCTTGAATATCCAAAGCCCTATCAGATAATCTCAGGGTCAAATATATAAGAATGGAAACAAGTGTTCTAAACATAGGGGCCCCTGGCTGGCTCAGTCAGAAGAGCATATAATTCTTGATCTCGAGCTCATGGGTTCCAGCCCCATGTTGGGTGTACAGATGACTAAAAATAAGTAAATAAACTTCAAAAAACAAAATTCTAAACATAAATATGGGACTGTTCAATGTTACTTTTAAAACAAGTGTTTAATAAAATTGAATGCCAACGCCTTTGTGTTCTTAATTTCCTTTCACATGTTCAAAAGAATATGCATAATTAGAAACAGGAGACAGCAAGGCTGGTCAGTCTTGTTACTTGTCAGCAACATTAAAGAGTTTGGGGAAATTGGGGTGTTTTGAAGATGCTGACTGAAAGAAGTTTTGAGATTATAATTCTCCATACTTCTGCTATCCCCTATGACTGCAGGTAATTGAGAGTTGGCTATATATGGAAGGTATGAAAACTTTGTGACAGTTTAGATGACAGATGAGCTCAATTATTTGGCTGAACGCATGTCACCCACTTGGTACTGACCCACAGGTGTCACCAATATGCTTTCCTCTTTATTTTGGAAGTGGTTTCAACATTTAGTTGTTTCTTGGGACTTTGGATGCTCAGGTCTTAGTGTATCCGGGAGACTGTAGTTCTGGGCAACTTAGCTTAATTGGCTTCAGCTTTGTTGGTTGTCCTGCCTCCTATGGAATGGAAATGCATGAGTGATCCCGTAATGGATACCACTGTGATGTAGTAGAATGAACATGGGATTTGGAATCCCAAGACCTGGATTTAGAAAAGTCCATACTTTTCGAAGTGCCACTTAGCTGTGTGACCTTGGGCAAGTCACCTAAGTTTTTTTAAAGCCTGTTTAATTGTCTGTAAAAAGGGAGTAGTAATAACCTCACGTCATTTGTCATAATGAGTTTGGGTAACACATGAAAGAACTTTATTAAGTAGTACATTCGAATGTGAGGTGTTATTCTTCCCCTTTTACTTTGTTGTAGCAGCAGTCTAGAGAACAAGCAACAATGTGAGATTTCTTGTATTCTGAGGAGGTAATAACTGACTATCCCACACGGTCAGATAATGTAAAGAGTGGCGCATAGTCAATACATGTGAATTGCATTTCCATTGAAGTATTATCACAGAGCGGTTGGAAGGGATTTTGGTTGACATTTGTAATTGAGTTTGATACGGTTAACACAGGGACAAAGTTGGTTTGGTCAACTTTGAAGCATGCAAAACTAAACTCGCCTGTCATCTAAACTGGCCCTGTGTGGGGCTAGCTTCTACTATTAAGTGCAGTCTTTGGGGGATAGATGGATATCCTCATTTTGTCTAAAGCTACATATGATGCTTTTGCAAAAAGCGTGTAAATACATATATATATTGTTGTGTCTTGAGTGTTAAATTACTTGTTTTAGTTTGGAAAATAGTGGTAAAATGCTGGGGCCTTGTAAGTTTAGAGTATTTTGGTTGAGGTTGGGGGTAGCATTGGTCCCTGTTTTCCTAAATTTATTGACGGTTTGGTCTTATTTAAAGCTAATATTAAGTGTATATCCAAGCTAAAATAATATTGACTCTGGTACATTTTGAATGAAAAAGCACATTATTCTCCCCTGTTAATCTATTTTTGGAATGTGATATTACTAGACTGCCATAAAGAAGAATAACCCCAGGAAGTACCTTCGCAGTGTAGGAGATGGAGAGACTGTGGAGTTTGATGTTGTTGAAGGAGAAAAGGTGAGGATGCTTTTTGTGTAAAGGTTTGACTTCAGTTTGGAAATATTTTGGAGATCTCATCCATTAGGATGGTGGCTCTAATGTGGATGGATGGGTCAGGTGACCACATGAACACAGGTGCATCAAGCCTTATGTGCTGGCTGCAGTTAGAGGGCAATCTCTTCAGAACAGTGAGGAACTGATACTTAATCATTTCTATGCACCCCTGGCCACATAGACCCTTTATTTGCTTTGTGTAAATTTTGTTAAGTATACTTAATTCTGTTGTCACTGTCAATATATGATGGCTTTTGTAGGGTGCGGAGGCAGCAAATGTTACAGGCCCTGGTGGAGTTCCAGTGCAAGGCAGTAAATATGCAGCAGACCGTAACCATTATAGACGCTATCCACGTCGCAGGGGTCCTCCACGCAATTACCAGCAGAACTACCAGAATAGTGAGAGTGGGGAAAAGAACGAGGGATCGGAGAGTGCTCCCGAAGGCCAGGCCCAACAGCGCCGGCCCTACCGCAGGCGACGGTTCCCACCTTACTACATGCGGAGACCCTATGGGCGTCGACCACAGTATTCCAACCCTCCTGTGCAGGGAGAAGTGATGGAAGTAAGTTTTCACCGAAAAAAGTAAAAGAATGAACAGCATGCAAAAACTTTGAATAAGTCTGCGTTTTAAGCATATTGTGAGTGTCTATCTGTATTGGAGCAGTTAATCTAATGGGAAGCATTTTTTTGATTCCTAATAAAAACCCAAGAGATTAATTTATAATATAATTACAGTTAGATGATTTCTTTATTTTTAACTCCTGTATGCAGACTTTGGATTTGTCTGATGGGGTTCATTTACTGTTACTGATTGAGTCAGCTTGATTGTCTTTCCAGGGTGCTGACAACCAGGGTGCAGGAGAACAAGGTAGACCAGTGAGACAGAATATGTATCGGGGTTATAGACCACGATTCCGCAGGTATGGTTTGTGTTAAATTTCTCAAGCATGTGTTAGGACTCAGCAGCATCATAATTCTCCTGCAGCCTTTTTGAGTCATTTATTTGTTAACACTTAACATTTTCTTTCATCAGATGCCTAAGAGGTGAACCTGAAGTCAGTTATCTTTGAGAATGTGTTCTTTGCATCTTCTTGCTGGTACTCATTAAAAACAGCTTGTATAGATGAGGTCTACTTTATATGATTGTGTCCGTCCCCCCCCCCCCCCCCCCCCTTGTAATAAGGGTGTACGGAATTTCAGTTTTTCTGTCCTTGCACAGGTAAGAGAATAGTTCAACCTGTATTCTATTACATGTTTTAAGACCTGCTTCATTAGGAGGGAGATAGGTAAAGGTAAGCATTGCCTTTCAAGCGTTAGGAGTATCTGAACTGTACCTTAACATAAATGAGGAATCGATAGCGTAACCTCTTGAGATGGTATAACTTTCCATTAATCACGTCTCAATTGAGGGTTTTTTGTCACCCTTAAATTGCAAAATAAAATCACCCAGTAGAGTGTAGAGTAATTGGAGAAGCGTTTCATGAGCCAGATGTGTTTGTTTAGTATATAAATATGGTAGTCCTCTTTGAGGCAGTATGCCCAGTCTGTCCCACAGTGGGTGGATAGAATGGCGTAACAGTTACTTATTTTAAGGCTCTTTTTTTTATTAAAGCATTGAGTCTCTAGGTGTGATCCTATAACTAACAGTATACTCAAGGCAATACAGTAATAACTCTTAACTAATGATGACTTATATAGCAACTTTAACCGTTGATGCCTAAGTAAGTTTTAAGAAACAAATTCCTTACTATAAAAAGTATCTAAAATACAATATAGAAGTCTTCAAAATACATTATGATTCTAATTTCTATTAAAGAGGTTTCTCACAACACCACCACCCCAATCTTTTGTGTACTTCAACAGAGATGGAATACTGAAGCTTTAGAAACTAGGGAACCCAGCTGAGATTACCCTATCTGCATCAGTATATATGCATTGAGAGTTTTGCAGTAGCCAGTGTCTATAACGTATTCTTGTTTCCATTGATGTATGTTGTGTCCTGAGTTTATAATTCATGAAAATAGCCTGGAGTTCTAGCTGGTTCATTTAAAATCTCCACCAGGAGTTTGTTAGCTGTGTGTTGGATGTTGGAGATAGATGGTGTTTCCCTGTTGAGTGTGGAAGATTATTTTTGATGCTGACAGATGAGCTTTGTTGATCTTGAACTCAGCTACTGTTCAAAGTAGTTTTAAGCCAACACAAAGATACCTTGTTGAAATACTGCAAATGATATCACAATGTCATTTTTCAAAGTGATCAGTGTTTTTAAGATTGGTCTAAAATAGGCTCTCGTGGCAGTTTCCATTATATCCAAGAGTGCCAACAGCAGAAAACTTGGTTTGCCTTTTTGTTACGCTATAAAGTTGCTTAAGTTTTCTGCCTAGCTTTTATTGGTGTCTTTAAAAAATAGCGTGTGAGTTTTTATTGTTGAGTGCTTTGGTTTTACTGTTTGCCTTTTAATTAGACGTAATAGTCTTCATTTGGTGGATAGACGGGTTGACAGAGCCACATACGATGCATGGGGTTAAAATCCTGATTAGTGTAGGTTCCAGGGCAAATTGAAAGATCTAAGGCAAGTGTAGCAGTTTCACTGAGGAGACAAATGAAGTGGCAAGAAGGGAGAAGTGGCATCAAGAAAGTGTTTTTGAGAAGTAAGGGCACTACTATAGGCTGGAAAATTCAGTAGAAGACAATTGTCAGGAAAGTGAGTGTAGAACCATCTTCAGATAGGGTAGGATTTTGTCCACACTTAAGGGGTGGGCCCTTTGTTAGGAACCCTCGGTATTTTATGTGTAAGAAGCCCGAGTATGTGGGTATGATGTGTTAGTGGCATCAAATGGAGGGGTCAGTGAAGAGGTGTGAGGAGTTTGGGCCAAAGATGTGGGATTATCTCAAGAAGAGAAATCAGGAAAATCAAATAATAGAATAAGGGTCACAAATTTAAAGTGGGGCCAACCAATGTGGTTGTGTTTTCCAGCCATTTTTGAGCAGCAGGCTCAGGTTGAGCAGAGTTGAATTTGTCCTACATTTGTTGATCCAAATGAAGAACCTGGGGTTGGGATTGGTTATGCTTAATTAATGGTCAGCTTTTTTACTTGGGTAAAAGGGGAGACAAATATTAAGGGAGATTGGGAGATAGAATAATTGTAGCATCACTGGATTATCAATTCTCATGGAAATAAAGAATGGACGAACAAGAAGGAATTAAACTAGGAAAATCGGAAAGGGTGTTTGGAGAATGGAATACTTGGAAATTGAGAGAACCCAAATAGAAGAAAACTGGATAGGAGGTAAAGAACTTAAATACCCAGGTTATTTGGGGCTGTCAGGATAACGATAACAGGAAAAGGATAGTAAATGGAAAATAACATAAGATGTGAAAGCTTGGGGTTTTAGAAAGAAATGGGGAAAACTGACTTAGAAGCCACAGTGATAGGTGTAGAGCAGCCACTCTTGAAGACTTCAGGGGAGAGCTAGAGCAGTTTTGCCTAAGACTTGCAGTGAGGTCCTAAAACGGGGGGCGGAGAGAAATTAGAACCCATGATGACCAGTATGTATAAAAGACATGATACTAATCTTGATGTTTTTGAGGTGATGTAATGTATGGATGGAGGAAAGGCCAAGAAAACCTCACTGGTTTCTAACACTTATAGTTATCAGTTGAAGAAATTCTCATCTTTTCTTTGGTAATAGAAGTGTTGATAATTTCTTTGATCCTGATCACCTTTAATTTCAGGCCATTGACCATAATATTGCTACAGTGTAAACTTGAACTTTGTTTTCTAAGTGTATAGCTCTGGATTTTAGTAGTATAGTCACATAGTTATGCAACCATTACCACTATCTCTTAATTCCAGACGTTTTCACCCACCTCCCGCCAAAAAATACCCTTGCATCCATTAGCAGTCACTCATTTCCTTTTTCCCTGTACCCCAGCCCCTGGCTACCACCAATTTCTGTCTGGATTTCCCTGTTTTGCACATCTCATGAATGGGATCATAGATTTGTATGTCTGCCCTCTTTCACTTTAGCATATTTTTTAAGGTTCATCCATGTTGTGGCATGTAGGATTTAATTCCTTTTCATGGGTAAATCAAGGTCCACTGTATGGATGTCCTATTTTGTTTCTTCAGCAGTCAGCTGATAGACACTTGGATTGTTTCCACACTTTTGTTAATGTGAATATTGTAATCATAAAATAGATATTTTCTTGGGTATAGACCACTGAGTGGAGTTGATTGCTGGGTCACATAGTAACTCTAACAATTTGAAGAATTGCTGGACTCTTTTCCAAAGCTGCTACACCATTCTTATATTCCTGCCAGCAGTGTATGGGTTTCCAGTTTCTCCCTATCTTCACCAACACTGGTTATGCCTCTGATCTTTTGATTATGGCCATCCTGGTGGGTATGAAGTGGTCTCTTAACGGTTTTGATTTGCCTTTCCTTAATGACTGATGGTGGCTGTGTGCTTTTGATTTCTTTTGAGAGAACATCTTGTCTTTGATTTTGATTTCCTGCCTTTTTAGCAAGTGCTCATCTATCTGTAAAGGGTTAGTGGCACTTGTTCCCAAACCTGATTACCATGAAGCCCATTTAAAATGACCTCATCCAAGTGTCTGTGGTGTGTCACTTTTAGTCAGCTCATTATTTACTCACTGTATCATCTATTAAAAAGTTAGAATTTGCTGGTCCATTAAAACCAGTTTTAAACTCTCGTCTTCTAGTTTACACTTCCAAATCCTTGCACTAAACCCTCTCATTCAGTTTGTGAAATGCGAACCAAGTTTTGCACTTCTCATTTTTGATAAACAGGCCAGATATGGTGTTTAGTTGTCTGAACCAAGTGATAAACATTGGTGGGTGGGTTAAAGAAAGCGTGAAGGTTTTCTCATTGCAGTTTTGGCACAATGTTCATTCCAGGGGTCCTCCTCGCCAAAGACAGCCTAGAGAGGACGGCAATGAAGAAGATAAGGAAAATCAAGGAGATGAGACCCAAGGTCAGCAGCCACCTCAACGTCGGTACCGCCGTAACTTCAATTACCGACGCAGACGCCCAGAAAACCCTAAACCACAAGATGGCAAAGAGACAAAAGCAGCCGATCCACCAGCTGAGAATTCGTCCGCTCCCGAGGCTGAGCAGGGCGGGGCTGAGTAAATGCCGGCTTACCATCTCTACCATCATCCGGGTAAGTAAGCTTAGATGGCCTGTGGCCTCTGAGCAGTCATGCATGGGGTCCATTAATGCAATAGAAAGATGAGCCATTGTGACTTAGGGTGTCTTCACCCATATTAATTTTCTAATTCCCTAAATACGCAGTTTTGGTAGTGGCAGGTATCAGGGCCATACTTAGCCTCTCGCCCACCTCAGTTCTGACACTTAGAGGCCTAAGTATTTCTTGAATATTAATTAGAATCTTTGTCAACTGTTCTGAATGAATTCTGTGATTTTACCAGTAAGCTGAGGAAAGTCTTGCTAACTTTATTTACCCTGAGAAGTATGATGGTTGCATTGTGTTTCTTCTCAAAAAGAGGTGGGATAGCTACTAGAATTCACAACCTGTGTGGTGATGAGCAATATAGTCTCTTTGGGGAAAGTGGCAGTTTTGACATCATACCAGTTCCAATATTAAAGGATTCCTTTGCATTCAACCATTTACTTGATATTCAGAGGCATGTAATTGTTTTGTTCCGGAATTGTCATTTTCAGACAGTAATGCTTTTGTTTTTTTCCCCTCTGTTATTTTGTGGTAAAGGTGGTAAAGTGGTAGAGGGGAGAAGGCATGCTCCAGCATCCAATAACTGGACTCATGCCTGCATTATTTTCCCCTCTGAATGGCAAAAGGTCATTCAGAACTTACAAGTAGCCATTCTTGTCACAGCATTGTCAGCCCCCTGTTGGAAAATCAGTGTCTTGGAATAAACATAGATTTGTTAATGCCTTCCTACTTAGCTAGGGTGATCTGGAGCAATTTGGTATGTACTAAAAGAATGTTGTAGACGATGTAGTGCGAGATGATCTTAAATTTATTTATTTATTTTCTACAGTTTAGTCATCCAACAAGAAGAAATGAATATGAAATTCCAGCAATAAGAAATGAACAAAAGATTGGAGCTGAAGACCTTAAGTGCTTGCTTTTTGCCCATTGACCAGATAACTAGAACTATCTGCATTATCTATGCAGCATGGGGTTTTTATTATTTTTACCTAAAGATGTCTCTTTTTGGTAATGACAAACGTGTTTTTTAAAAAAAAGAAAAAAAAGCCTGGTTTTTCTCAATACACCTTTAAAGGTTTTTAAATTGTTTCATATCTGGTCAAGTTGAGATTTTTAAGAACCTCATTTTTAATTTGTAATAAAAGTTTACAACTTGATTTTTTCAAAAAAGTCAACAAATGGCAAGCACCTGTTAATAAAGGTCTTAAATAATTGTCTTTGTGTATATTTCTGTCTTGTCTTATTTTAGTTTGTAAGTCCTTAGCTAGCTTAGATGATACTGGTAATTATTACTCAGGGAAATTTCCTTAAAACATGTAGTTCTTTAAGGGAAAGTATTTATTTTGACAACTTGGCCATTTTCCTCCTTGTAAGATTCCTTTGGCTGTGGGGGGCAGTGGTAAAGGGGAGAGGGCATGCTCCAGCATCCAATAACTGGACTCGTGCCTGCAAGCCACTTATTTCTGGCCTTTTGGAAAGTTATTTTACCCTGCCAGTTGAAGATACCCACCTTAAGAGTTACCATATACCTGCCACAGAGCCTATTGTGCTCATTAAAAAGGTTCAGCTCCTGTGTGAGGTTGACTGAAGATGGTAACAACAGATAACATAATGCCTATAGGAAGACTTGGTAAAGAATGTGGAAATTGGTGAAAATAATTTTGTGTTCTCAGCTCCCTTCTGCCCTAAGCCTCTTATTTTTTATAATATCTTGCTAGATGTTCACTTGGAATCCTCCTGGTCAGCTTTTGGGGCCCAGGGGAGAAAGATGATGGGAATTTAGAGAGGCACATCCAGGAGTCCTACAGTGCTATGTAAGTCCAGGTGGGGGTGCCCCTTTCCAAAATGTGCTCAGAATTCACACAACCAAGATTGCATTGTACTGATGCTTTTAATTCTAGGGGACTGGTGAAATAAGGCAGGAAAATAATATCAAGTAAGCTAGTATCTTTCAAACTCCTTCCAAACTTAGGACCAACTTTTTTTTTTTTTTGCCTGCTGTAAAAAGATATTCACTGCTGGCAAGAATGCAGTGGAACAGCTTTGAATACTGCTGATGGTTGTAAGATGTATTTTTTGTAATTACATACTTAGGACGTGTTATAATGCTATCATGGAAATTACAACACCAACAATACTGGTTAAATATCCAATACAGGTATTCCTCGCTTTTCAAAAGTTAACGTTATATACTGCGTTGCCTTTAGGAAGCATATACGTTATTACTTGTTTTTGCTAGCAAAGAAATCTGAAAAGAATTTTTGCTTTATGAAAATAGCATTCAGTGTTTGTTTCGCTGCAGTGAGCTGTTAACAGGGCAATGCACACTGAGCAAGAGTGGTGCCACCAAGTTCCTTTCCTAGAAACTACACTCAGCATCAAGCTGCCATAGTGTGGAAGAAAGTTTCCTGCAGTGTGGTCTTGATGCCAATGTTGCAAAAAAACTGCTTATGCATTTTTTCATGTGTATTTGTCTTGGGTCCTGTTGCCCAGCACCTTATGAATGCCTTTGCCAAATGTAAGAATTAGATAGCCTATGAGTCTCTAAGGCAACCCAGAGAACGTATTTTTTTCTCCAGCTAGGATGAAGGTTGAGTGCCCAGTCTGGCAGTCAGATGGCACAAGCATGAGACTTGGAAAAGGTCAGCACTTTGCTAGGCGGGAGTAGAGTTCTTCAGAAGCAGCAGTTTCCTCATCTGACAACTCTGCTTTAGTTTTTGAGCCTGGTGCTCCAGCCTTTAACAATTACAAGTATCTCATATCCTTTTATAAGAATTATTTATGTGGCTGTAGCAGAGGGATCACAGGAGAGTGGTAAGAAATTAGGTACCGAAAATGAATGAGGTGGGGTGCCTGGCTGACTCCATTGTCAGAGCATGCAACTCTTGATCTTGGGGCTGTGAGTTTGAGCCCCACATTAGGTGTAAAGATTGCTTAGAAATAGTCTTTGGGGCATCTGGGCGTCTCAGTTAAGTGTCTGACTTCCGGCTCATGATTTCACAGTTTGTGGATTTGAGCTCCACGTGTCTGTGCTGACAGCTCAAAACCTGGAGCCTGCTTTGGATTCTGTGTCTCCCTGTCTCTGCCCCTGCCCCACTCGCACTGTCTCATATAATCTAAACATTTAAGAAAAAGTTTTCTTAGAAAGAAATGGCAGTGGTGTGTTACAGAAGAAAGCCCACCACCAAGAACCCTGATGCTTCAGGTTTCAGGAGGAAGGAAAGCCACTGAAAGGGCTCTAAGGGAAGTTTAATTTAGAGGCAGAGTAAGAAAGTGAATCAGAAGAGGCTGGGAACCAAGTTTCAGAAGGCACAGTTGAAGGTTTGGGAAGTGAAGCAGCATGGGTCAGATTTGGAGCTGGTGAAAGCTAATGGAAATTGAGTAAGTGCTGACCCGAGTAAGCTTGAACATCTGCTTAAGCGACAGGTAAACCAGAAAGTGTCACGTGACTGGCTTCATGCTGAGGTTTTGCTAGCGGAAGGGTTAGTCTGATCTGTCATGGTTAGTTGACTTGTGGCTGGGGAAGGAGCAGTCTTCTGGAACTCTCCCTTCTCTGAGTGGTGCTCTGTAGGTAGAGGAGGTTGTATACCTTCAATCTGGCTGCTGTAAAGTTTACAAATAGTACAAAAGTAAATAGAAGGTTAGCTTGAACCATATTCACACCTTGAGTGATGTTTTAGTGCGTCTTACAGGTTTGGGCAGTTAGCTCTATAGTCCTCCTGCCCTGTAATTCTGTCTAGGCTGAGGAGCTGGTGATGGAGTTACCTGGATTATTTTTAAAGAGAATGATTTTTATTTTAGAAATCATACTCTGGGGCAAGAAAAAAAAAGTGATAAAAGAAATGGCCAATTTGGTCATTATTGCAGGAGTCCAGATAAACAATGAGACCTGTATCATAGTTACGGCAATTGGAAAGAAGGTCAAATTTGAAATGTTTTCAGAAATGGAGTTGAGATCTAGGTGACTAGTTGAATGTAGGGATGAAGAAGTCCAGCATGATGGCAGAATGTTGATACATACAAATGACAAATGGCGTCATTTGCTAGAATAGAGAATGCACAAAGGGGAGAGGTCTTTTGAGTTTATGTGGTGTTTGAGGTGCCTATGTATGCAGCATCCATGGGGAGTATACAGGAAGCAGATTTGGAGCTAAGGAGTGAGGTATAGGTGGAGTTGAATGACACTCATCCGGCGGCCATTGAAAGCTGTGGTCATGGATGAAATTCCATCACTCTAGGGCATCTGTGGAGAACAGAAGGTGGAGGCCCAAACTTCTGGAACAAGGTCAAGATATAAAAGCAAAGGCCAGAAAGATCTGTGGAAATTCCAGAAAAGGAGGACCTCACAGAATCCTAGAGGACAAAATAGGAAATGACTCGTTTGCCATTACTCCAAAGAGGTTCAAATAGCTAAATGTGGAAAAGTGTGCATTGTGCTTCACAACAAGGAGACAAGTTATGAGAGCAGTTGTGGAAATGTAGGGGTGGGCAGTAGGTTGAAGGGCTGTTGCTCCCACAGCCTGCCTTCCATCTCAGTAACAACTAGCCCATCCCTCCAGGTCCCGGCCAAAACCCTCAATCCTGATTTCCTTTTTTTTTTCCTCATCTCCTACCCTGACATGGGTCAAGGCCTCCACCTTTCTGCTATAGTTCATTTTAAAAATCTATGAGCCAGAGTTACATTGCTAAAACTCTCCAGCGGCTTCCAGTCTCACTTGTGCAGAAGCCGGCCAGGTATGGAAAACTTCACAATGTACCCCAGCCTGTCTTGCACTTTCTCAGCTCTCCCCCTGGTTTACACCAACCTCACAGGCAGCTTTTTCCAGAGAAACTCCCAATTTCTAGGCTTTTCCCTCTTGATGGGGAAGACAGTTTCCCCAGTTAACTAAATGGCTGTCTTATTATGTTCTTTCAAGTCTAAAAAGCCTTCTCTGACCATTGTTTAAAATAGCAGCACCTCCCCTCCCCATGGCCAGATCTCCCAGCTTCCTTACCTTGCTTGGTTTTTCTCCAGTGCATTTCCTCATCTGCTAATTCTATATTTGTTTGTTCTTTGTGTTTGAGATTTTTGTTCTTTTTACTGCTGTTGTATCCCAGCATTTACAATAGGACTGAAAGAATAAAAGCTCAAAAAATATATGTTGAAGTGGGATAAGGAATGTGAAGGCTGCTGGTGAAAGGGCAAGTTTGACCATCCAATTTACATATTAGCCAGATAGGATGCTCTTGAGTGGAGGGTTGTGGTTCTTAGTTACACTGGCCTGAAAGGACTACCTTGAGCAACATGGACGTTCTGGTCCCTCTAAAGATAAATTGGAGGGAGGCGCCTAGGTCACTCACTCAGTTGGGTGTTCAACTTCAGCTAAGGTCATGATCTCACAGTTCGTGAGTTTGAGCCCCATGTCAAGCTCTGTACTGACGGTTCAGAGCCTGGAGCCTGCTTCGGATTCTGTCTCCCTCTCTCTTTGCCCCTCCCCTGCTCCCACTCTCACTCTGTTCTCAAAAAATGTATAAATTGAAGGGTTTTTTTTTTTAAATGAGGGGACATATTTATGAGGGAGAGAGGAGCAACCAAGAAGACAGCTTTAAGATTTTAAAGCCTTATGTACAATAAAATGCCTTATTTTATCCTGTGCATAATGTAATTTGTCAAAAATCATTTGAGCCAATAGGAAGGAAAGTGGTTTAGAGTCAGAATACCTGAGTTCCAGTTCTTTCAGTGAAACTTGACCTTCCAGAGCCTCAGCATGGAGGTACTATGTAAGAGTCAGTTCTGAACTTTGAAATCGCTCTCAAAATAAGATCTATGGACCATCCACAAGAATATGAACAGATTTTCTTGGATCCCACCTTCAAACTGCCTAGTTCAAATGTAGGGGAGGAGCCTCAGAATGAGCATTTTATATCTTTAGAGATAACAAGAATTACTTCCTGAAATTCTGGTGAGGATTAGGTGAGAGTAAAGTAGAAATGTCTGACATTTTGTTAGTGCTCAGTAAATGTTGGTCCTTACTGTTAAAGGAACATCGTAGGGGTCAACTGAGATAATCGTGAACTTTGTAAGCTGAAAGTGATAGACATGGGAATGTGACTTGTAGACCTCTGACTATAGGAAACCTAAAAGACCCAACATGCTTTGCTTTGAAATCTACCATGTTTGCCCTGGGGCCATAATTCCCCAGGGTTTCCAAGCAAGGGAGTGACCTGGCAGAGA